ATCCTTAAATAAATCCAAAACAGTTTTAAATCGAACTAGTAACCGATCCAGCTTGAATAAATCGTGTAATGAAGATGCAGATAATAAGACAGAAGACGAAGATAAATTCGGTGATAAATCTTTAAATAAATCCAAAACAGTTTTAACATCAAGTAGCTCTTCGGAAGATATGTCTATATATAACCAAACTTCTGCAAATAAATCTCGAATAGATAGGTCAGAGGAAGAATATTGGGCTGATGAAAATGTCGACAAAACAGCTATAAAAGCGATAAGTGACATAGCAGCTATGAATCTTGGACAGTTTAGATCTAAAACTCATTCTTTGATAGCAAATAAAGGATCGCTAAGTAGTGATCAGGACAGTCAATATGGACGTAATCTTCCAAGCCATTCCTACCTAAGTGCAAAAGTAAACAGCGATATCGACAGTAGCAGCGACTCTATTGAATCTGTTGATTCTATTGAGTCTGTCAACAAGGAATACAATTTGAATGGAGTGCAACTAATGTTTTCTGATAATGATGTAGCTGCTGATGAATGCAGAGCTTCAGAAGTAGAAGATTCAGATCCTGATGACAACGGTTCAGATCTTGCAGATTTTATAGTTGATGACGATAAAGTAGAAGATGAAGAAGATAATGAAGATGATTATGAAGAAGAGAATAATGAAGAAGATAATGAAGATGATTATGAAGAAGAGGCTAATGAAGAAGATAATGAAGATGATTATGAAGAAGAGGATAATGAAGAAGAGAATGATGAAGATATACAAAATATAAAAGATGATGAAGCTATACAAAAAGAAGAAATGGAAGATGAAGAAAAGAAACAGTTAAAGACAGAAACAGACACTTCTAATTTAATCTCTTCATCGCTTAAGAAGAAAAAATTATCGGATTTGCAATATTCCTCGAGAAATGAAGCTGAACAATTAAATAAATTAAAATCAACCTCGGCAAAAAAATCGTTCAAATACGTGACAATGGAATCTAGTACTCCAAATTTTAAAATTCGCTGTAAGAAATTAGAACCTGCAACATCCGAAAGAACTCCAAAAAATAAAGATTTTAAGTCAAATATGATTAAAGCAACGCAGAATACTTCGGTTAAAAAAGATAAATTGAAAAAGAACTCTACACCAAATAAAGATATTAATTTGAAGAAGTCCAGCGGTGCAAGTAAAGAAAATGTGTCAAATAGCGAATTTTCACCTGATTTATTAAAATTGTTAGAAAAGACGAGTCTTTCGAAATCGACATCTTCTCAGACAGAATTACGTAGAACAATGAATATTAATATTGAAACACCAACGTTAAAGTACCTTAGAAAAGAGAAATTAAACGAAAGTGCGCCAACATTAAAATCGAATACGGAAATCTGCCCATTACAAAGAAAATCGCCTATGGAAAAGGATACTACACAAATAAAAGTAAAAGAGAAAAATAATACGGACGAAATACCTGAAATAATACTGTCTAGTAACGATGCCATACAAAAACGTAATCCAAAGAAACAGAAAAAACGTAAGAGACAAAAATCATCAAATGAAAGTATGACCGATAAAGTCTTGTCTGAAGATGCAATCGAATCATATATTCCTAAAAAGAAAAAAATCAAGATTACTCATGTAACTAATGTAGAAGATAATATCCGCGAAGATGCACATCAAATTAGTAAGAAAAAGAAGAAAAAAGATACAAATGTAAATATCACTGATGAAGCATTTAATTTTATTGCGTCTGAAGATATAATGAAATTAAATGTTCTTAAGAAAAAAAAGAAGAAAGCTAAACTTATTAAATCAACTATTATAGAGGATAATATCCACAAAGATGCATATGAGATTAGCGAGAAAAAGAAGAAAAAGAAGAAACAAGACACATCAAAGGAAAATATTACTGATAAAGTTTTGCCTGAAGATGTAAAATTAAAGATTCCTAAAAAGAAGAAACATGCTAAGCTTATTCAATTACCCTTAGCAGAAGATTATGCTTGCGAATATGTGAGTCAGATTAGTGAGAAAAAGAAGAAACGAGACACAAAGGAAAATATCACCGATGAAGTTTTATCTGAAGACGTAATAGAATTAAAGATTCCTAAAAAGAAAAAACGTGCTAAGCTTGCCCAATTATCTATCATGGACGATAATGCTCACAAAAATGCGAGTCAAATTAGTGAGAAAAGAAAAAAACAAATTACATTAAAGGAAGACGTCAATAATGAAGTTTTGCCCGAAAATCTGATAGAATTGAATGTTCCTAAAAAGAAGAAACGTGTTAAGATTACTGAATTACCTATCGGAGACGATAATACTCGCAAGGATGTGGATCAGATTAATGCAAACAAGAAGAAAAAGAAAAAACATGACACACCAAAAGAAAATATCACCAATGAAATTTTGCTTGAAGATGTGATAGAATTAAAGATTCCTAAAAAGAAGAAACGTAAACTTACTCAATTACCCATCGTAGAGGATAATATTGAAGATGTGTGCCAGGTTACTAAAAAACAGAAGAAAAGGAAACAAGAAACGAAGGAAAATATCATGAATGAAGCCTTATCTGAAGACGCAGTAAAATTAAAGATTCTTAAAAAGAACAAACGTACCAATCTTAATCAATTAGCTATTGTACAGGATAATATCCGCAAAGATGCGTATCAAATCAGTGAGAAAAAGAAAAAGAAGAAGCAAATTAATGTAACTGAAGAGGATATTGTAAACGAAGATGATATACTTCGAAAAAATATTCACGACAACAAAATGGAGTTAGTACAGTATAAGAAAAATATAATTGCAAATAGCAACTTGGAGTTGGATTCACCTGTCGATAAACGAGAAAAACAAATAAAAAAGAAAATTAAACAACAAAAAATAGTGGACTATATTGAAACTTTGCAGACAGAAAAGAAAAAAAAGAAAAGTACTTTACCAGTACAAATCCCAGTTTCAAAATTAAAATCTAAGAAAATTTTATTACCTAATAAATTACGAAAAACTGTTTTGGATATGAATAAATCGAAAAATAAAGCTTGTAGCAGTGAGGAACTAGCTGAAGATGTCCGTGCTGCAAAGATGTGCATTCCTAAAAAATCAAAACCGAAGAAGAAACACGATCGAACCGAAGATACTGCGATCCATGCAAATATCTCGACGAAAAAACCAAAAAAAGGAGTCAAAGAAGTGAATAAGTTTTTACCATCATCGAGTGGCCTGAAGCGACTTCCGAACGAAGTGATCGAAAATCTTGCGGACGTGCCAGCGAAGAAAAGACAGAAAATTTTGCGAAACAAGGAAAAAGTCGTATTGTCAGTGACAACCGGTAAATCGAAGGCAGCGACCGCTAATCGTGATGACTTCACATTGAGTACCTCTGATTGCACCACTCATTTCAATGTAGTAAACTTGCGGGATACTAAAAAACAACTATCAAAGGGAGCTGCCGTGGCAGCTTCGTTCAGGCAACGTATGCTTGCTAGAAATAACCGTGAATCAATTTCGGCTTACTTGATTTATCAGGAAAAACTGAGACATACCAAATAAGGAAATTTTTTTTATAAAATATGTTATTTTTAATAAATTACTCTCTTATATGTATGACTTCAATATTTTCTGAATTTAGATGATGAAACTCGTATAGGTATTACTACTCGTTGTGTTTATATTTATGAATTTTATATCGCTGTTTTACACATTTCTCGAAAACAATTCAAAGTTACCAGGAGAGTAATTGTGTCTCTTAATTGTATCTACAGCACATTTAGTGTATTTATATATGTGACAAGCTATTCCATTTATTGAAATTTATAAAGTAAAAAATCTGCTCCCTGCGCCTTAGAGAAATAAGTATGTATAATTTCCGCAAGTATAATGCGTGCAGTATAAGTGAAAAATACAAAAATATATTTCTATTAAAAGTTATTTGTACAAGTATATTATTTATCTGAACTGATACATAGCCAGATAGGTTCCTTTGATACTACTGTATCCAATATTAACAAAAATTAGTTTATTTTTTTTCATATTCACAAGACAATTCTCAAGACAGTTTAACGATTTCATCAGCTTTCCTTTTTAAGCTCGTATGACGATGTCCGGCGATATTTCTGTCTTGATACTCAAGAAACAAGAACCGTTTGCAGTATTTTGTCCACTAAATATCACGCATGCGAGGCTGTTTATCGCACTATATTGCCAAACTTTGTGAATCCATTTATTTACAGTGCGAAACGTTTCCTCTAGCCGTTCATCTTTCAATTGTTCCTCTTTAATTTTCACGTGGCACAACACGAAAGCGTGCTCCATCGCTATTTCCGAGGTCCGGTCTACAGCGTGTTTATCGCTATCTGCTATCACGAGACGTACCTGCAATTATCGAAAAACCAATGATTATTTTATATAATCGATTATTAGATGTAATTGAAAACAATTTCGTATTTTCCGTTTCAGTTTCTTGATAGATACTTCAAATCGGAATACTTCATAGATTCATTCAAATCGGAAACGTTTACTATTGTCCGTAAGTGTGTACTAACTTGATCATCTTTCGCGAAACTTTCGTCGTCCATGACATTGAGAGAAGAGTTCGTTAAATACTTGGAATACTCTGACATCACTTCATCGTTGCCCACGATGGCGGCGGTGGTGCCTTTATTTTTCGTTATATGACTGAATATCGACGTGGCGTATTTCTTTATTTCTGTCTTTTGCAATGCCCGCTTCGACCTCTCGTTATCCGTTTCCATTTTCAAGACTCTCATACTGCGATCGCCGAGCAATACTGCGTCCCCATAATCCACACTGTTCGCCAGCTTCAACTTCACCAATTTCATAGAAGCCTGCGAGTCCTCCGTCGAGCAATGCCCAGCTTTATTGTCTTGAATATTCTCCCCGAGGAACTCGCGTGCCAAGATCTGCAATTTCGTTTTCCTATACCTACGTTACATAACAAAGTATTGAATGAAATACACGTTACGTCCACGTTAACATACGTTATTTACGATATTTTACAGTACCTGTCTCCGGTAAGATTGAATATTACGGAAGTGTCGATGATATAGGGGTGCATCATTCTTAATGTATGCAAATCGGAATTCAAACTTTGCCCTACGAGAATCGCGTCTGGAGGAAGTAACGTCCTCAGTGTCTGCTGAACGTCGTGCAATGTAATCGTGACATCGTCCAACATATCCGCAGTAATACCACTGTACCGAGTCAGATAGTTCGTTATCGGGTTGTCCGGTTTCACCAGACTGTCGTAAATAACCTGTAATTGAAACGGTTTTGCATACTACCGCCTAATGCACAAACATGCTCGGTGCTGTACTTACGTTCATGCTCTCATCCACGATACTTATTCTAGTGAGCTCCAGATTGCCGCTTGTTGTCAGGCACATTTCGCAGTCTAAGCCGAACATTGGCGATGTCGACGTGGCCTCTTCATAAACATCTTTCGTTAATAAGTACGAACCGTATCTAGAATTATATTATCTCGTTAATTATGATTTTACTGCAACAATACAATTGACATCTATGCAATAGCAAAACCTTTCTGCTAATGTTCCTTTCAACGGTACAGGATAATTTTCTTCTACCATCTGCCATAACGATAAAAGCAATTTGGTTCTACAAAATTTATCAGTTGGTGGTAAATTTTGATCGGAACTATTTTTTGTAGACAGTTTTACGTCGCTATTTATCGAATGCATCGGAAAAACACTTTTTAGCAATTTTATGACATTTCCATTTGTTTGCAAAGCAGTTTCTAAGGAGCCATATCCTAGAAATAAACAATTGTCTTTCAATATTATCACAAAAAAATTTTTATTAATAACACAATTAACTTCGAGAGCCTTTTAACGGTCATGACTGGATTTTAGATGCCTAATAAATTCTCGGGAAGTCCCAAGTTCAAATCCTGGCTGAGGTAAAGATCGGAAGAGCACACGT